AGATGAGGGTGTTAAAATTTATAGACAAGAGCCAATTTAGAAAACATTAAACTAGAAGGAAATTGGTTTAAAACCACATCAAAAAATTAAAAGGACTAAAGTAATTCTAAAAACTAAGGCAAAATGMTTTTGGAAGACTTGAATTTAAAAGGATCTTTAAATTTCCAAAGGATGTATATAGGATATTTTGGAACATCATCCCTGAAGAAAAATCAGTTAATGTTTCACTTAACAGGAATCCCATACAATCCACAGGGATAAGGCATAGTTAAAAGAGCTCATCAAACTATTAAAATGTACTTATTAAAGCAAAAAGAGGGAATTGAAAAGTGGTATACATCCCCCAAAGGTAAACTTAAAATAACCCTTTTTACTGCTCGGTTATTTGTGCCCAGCCAGACTGTGGCAACTTTCAAAAGGCTCATCTGTAATGGGGGTTGGGGGGGGGCACAGGAATAGGGGCAATAGGCAAGGCTCAATTGTGTCAAGTGTCCGAGTCAAAGCTGAAATTAAAATCCATCCAAAAGGACAGGAGAAGTGGGTAACCTTTTTCCGTGTTGTGACACATTCCTGGGTTTTCTCCTCTTCTCAACTCTAAGAGGTGAAGTTTCTTTGGAGCTCATTTCCCACCCTCTCCTCTCTTCACAGTCTCTCCCAGGCTACAAGAGACCTCTTTAATGGGGTCCRTACCCAAAGTTTCAAATGCTAATGCTGCACACCTCTGAAGGCACATCCCTAACCCAGACGTGTGTCCTAAGCTTCAGACTTATGTGTTCTACTTACATAGTTCATGGGCATTTCCATCACATTAAATGCTGTTAAGTAAAAACTGTGCACCTGAACTGGCCCAAAAAATTAAATTGGAGTCACTCATGCTAAAGTTCCAGGACATCCAACCTAATCTAAGGCATATATCTCACCTTCCAAGAAACCAGGAGAAATGAGAAATTAACAGAATTTCTCAAGTAGCCTAGTCTCAATCAACATAAGGAAGTTGTATCTGTTTTAATTCTTATACAAAAGAAGGGACCTAGGTAACCTGAAGTTCACTGATCAGTTGTTTTCCTAGTCTGCCTCCTTATCCTTGTCTTACAGGGAAACTGAATTTGAAATGGTAATCCYGGCTACTCAGGAAGCTGACTGAGGCAGGAGGATTTCAAGCTTGAAGCCAGCCTGAGCAATTTAGGGAAACCTTGTTTAAAAAATAAATAAATAAACGTACTTGGGGGTACAGCTCAGTGGTAGCGGAAAACTGGGTTCAAGCCCCAGCACCGCAAAAATAATAATAAAYAAATAACCAACCCACCCATCAGTTTTTATTCTTTCTTTTCTTTTGGACATTCTTGGTCTATAAAACCAATCTCTTCTACTCAACCCCTTTGAACATTACTGAGTTTTATGGAATGAAGTGTTGCTGGACTCCAGAATCCAAAATAAAACCAACTAAGTTTTTAAAACTAGGTTGTTGTGATTTTGCCCTTTGACAATAGAAAGCCTGGTTTCTCCCTGACTTTCCCCCTCACTGCTCAAGCTGTAGACTTGGGAATAACACCATCATCTCCTTCATTCACATATCTAATCTGCCACCAAATCCAGAATACATCCTGCACATMTACATTATGTGCATTTCCACCCTCCCACCTCCGAAGTCAAAGTCAGCTTCCTCTGTTGTATAAATGGCTACAATGATTCCCCATGGATCTGCCTGCTTTCACTCTTGTCTCTCAGGCCTCTCTTTACAAAGCAATTACAATGGCCTTTAAAAAATATCCCTTCAATCCTCTCATTCCCCTACTTCAAAATATTTAATGACTTCCTGTCTATAAAATGAAATATGAACTCTTTATCACTTGCATGGCCTCAGGCTTCCTGTTTCTTGWACCACCACCCACCCCCTTCCTGCTCTCTGAATTCCTGCCTTCTTCATTGTCTCCAGGGCCCCCAGATCTTTCCGGCTTCACAGCCTTTGCACATGCTGTTCCCTCAAGCTGGAACACTCTTCCCACTGTGTGTGTGTGTGACAGCTCTGCTCACTCTTCAGTCTTAGGTTAATGTCACCCCTCAGATGCCTTTCCTGACACCCCATCTAAAGGAACTCTACCATTCTGCCAATAGCACTGTTTTCCCATTTAACATCTACCACAATTATACATGGTTTTCATTTCTAATTTTTCATATTTTATGACTTGGTCTTCACCTGAAACCTTTGCAAGAAATTCTTATTTGGAATTTGAATGGCATGCTAGAAATAAAAGGCACCATAACAGGAGAGGTGACTGTGGCCAAGTCAAGTAACACAAGTTTTATATTAGTTAACGTTTGACAGTTTCCATATCTCCCATGTACTGCAAGTTTTGCTGTAGACAAGCGCCTCCTCCAAGTACACTCTCAACAAATATTTTTTTTTTAAAAAAAACCCTTCTCTTTCTCTAATATTATGTTCTGTCCAATTGATTTCTAAGAGGCTATCACACTGACAATATTACCTACATTCAGCGAAGTGTGTGGCTCTGTGAATTTTCACAAAATGCACACACACATGTTGCCACCCAGATGGTGAAATAGAGCATCCAGGACTCAACATGCCCTGCCCCTTTGATGTCCTCCCTGTGGCTCCTCCCCCACCAACTGGTTGACCTGTAAATATGGTCAATGACCTTGGCCTACATTTCAGCTTAATGGAAATGGAATCATAAAGGAATCATTGCTTCACACCTGGCTTGGTTCACTCGTACCACGAAGGCCAGGCTTGATGGTGCTGCACACAGAGCTGCTTATTTTCACCTGTATCATTCTGTACTATCAACTGGCTTGTGGATCTTTTTAATTTAAACTTTTCTAGTGGGTTCACAGTGGAACCTCCTGCTAGTTTTAATCTGCATTTCCCTGCTGCCTGACACCAACCACTTTTTCRGACACTTGTTGGCCATCTCTTCTTACTGCTGGCTAAAACTCTTGTGCATTCTCCTCTATTAATTATTAATATTATTGATCTATAAGTGCTGTTTATAGATCTGGAAGAATTCTGTGTGCCTGTGTTTCTTTCATTTCTGTGTATTGCAAATGTCTGCTCTCACTCTGGAAATATCTGCTCCTATTTTTTTTTCTGCTTTGGGAAAAAAATCCTTTAATGGCATCTTTTGATAAACAAATTCTTAATTTTATTACAGATTGATGTTTTCCTTAATAGGATTGTCAGCGTCCTACTTTAAAAATGCTTTGCCTACCAGAATGTCATGAATATATTATTATGTTATCTTCTAAAGAGGTACTGGACTCCTCCGGGTGTGGCTCAGTGGCACTGGCATGCTTAGAATTCCTGAGGCTCCCTGGGTTCAACCCACAGCACAGGAGGAAAAAAAGGAAGGAAGGATGGAAGGAAAGAACGGAGAGAGGGAGGGAGGGTAAAAGGAAGGAAGGGAGAAAAGAAGGAAAGAAAGAAGAAAGGGAGGGAAGGAGGGAGGGTGAAAAGAAGGAAGTAGGAAAGGAAGGAAAGAAGAGAGAGATGGAAGGAGGGAGGGTAAAAGGAAGGAAGGAGGACAACAAAATGAATGCTACCCAAAACATGGTTCTTATGAAACAGAATCTGGATTTTTATGAGATAAAGATAGAGAACAGGTGTTAAGAAATTTTATAGCAATTTGACACTGTCATAACATCAAACAAGCTTTCATTTAATTTTACAAAGTGTTAGTCTTTGATGGATTAGAAATTAAGATATTCACCGCAGACAGTTTGGAAGCATTATTTTAACCCCCCCCCTTTTTCCCTTTTTTTGGTCCAGCACTATGTTGAGATATATAATTCATCTAAATTTATTTTTTGTGTCCACTGTAGGTAGGAATCAAAATTACTCTTTTTCCTTCACCTATTGTTTTTTGTGCAATCTTTGCCATAAGCCAAGTATCTATGTAGATGTGAGTCTATTTCTGGCCTCTAATTCTGTCCTATTGACAGATGCCATACTATCTCAGTTCTTAGAGCTTTGTAAGTCTTACAATCTGTTAGGATGTGTCTTTCAACTCTATTTATCTTCCTCAAGGTTGTATTGGCTGCTCTTGACATTTTTGCATTTGATATTTTTGCAATATATATTAGAGTTCGCTTATTTATCTCCATCAAAAAAACTTGCTGAGATTTTTAAACAAGATTGCATCAAATTAATATATGGTCCCTTTTGTTATGATTCAAAGTACTTTTTGTCTTAGTAACTTATTTTCTAATGTTATGTGATCACTTGCTTTACCTAATTTCCAAAAGTATAAAATCATATTATTTGGTCTGATTTTATAGGCTCCTCCATAATTAGACTGACCTCGTTATGTCTCTTTGCTTTGCACTGATCCTTCACAGAAGCAAGAAGAGCCTGCTCATGGTTTCACACCATGCTCACTCTCTTTCCACACACATTTACATTTATAGTGCCTCCTACCCACTCCTGTTGTCATTCCAACTTTTTAAACTCTATCTCCCCAAAGTTCTTGCTAAGTCTCATTTAATCTACTTCCACCTCTCTAGCCCACAGTTACATTTAACTTTCTGTGCAATGTGTTGGTAATTCCCACCACCAGGATAGCATATTTTAAAATCATATGTTAATGAAAAGCGTGTCTTTCTGATGTGTACATCATAGATGCTCAACACCTCTAGTTGAACTGAATTTATTCTAATTCATGATAGAAAAAAATGATATCTGAATCATGAAGCAATCAAAAATCAATACATGTCCTCATTTAATCTCCCTGGATCTGAACAACCAGGTGTGCTGCTAAACTGCTGGCTTCATTTCTAACTCAAACTATTCTAAAATTGCTCTCTGAATTAAGCAACAAAAGGATTAGGTGCTGTAAAAATTGCTGTTTTTCATCCTTTAGATTTAGGCTTCTGTTCATACTTTAGAGACAGCAGCAGTTAAGCTTAATGGGTAGGGTATTCTTTTGGAGTGAGGAAAATGCTTTGGAACATTTCATATAGATTAAATGGAGGTGGTGACTGTACAAATTAAGAATAGCCTATTTTCTACTGAGCCCAGCATGGTGGTACACACCTGCAATCCCAGTGATCTGGGATGCTGAGGCAGGAAGAACACAAGTTCGAGGTCAGTCTGGGTTACTCCACCTAGATTACTTAGAGAAGTATTTGGAGGGAATATGTGGGAATGGAGTTAATTATAAAGAAACTCTACTTCTAAGAAGAAAGGAATAACAATGAGAGTATTTATATAWTTTTTTAAAAATATAAAAAGCATACTGGACTTTTTCAAAATTGTAAAAACAGCAATTTTATAATAGTGCTTGGCATTTTTAAAGGACGATTCCAGAAGCCAAGAACACATTTAGATTTTGTAATACCATTAGCTTTTCTCGTGGGCAGCTCTGTCCCAGAATCTGTAGAACTTAGGCACAGACAGTAAAAAGTAGCAAAAATTGCTCAGATGGAAAATTTTAGATTTCTGGTGATATATGAATGTTCTTTACATTTTCTCTTTCTCCCATTAGAGCCATGAATATCATTACTGAGTCCCGATGTCCGGTCATTATCATCAAATCAGTTACATTTTCTCACAGCTATGATGGTTAGCACTGCAGTTTTTAATTCATAAAGGGACCAAAAAATCAACAGAGTTGTGATGGGCCTTAATTAGAAGAAGAGTCAGTTTCACTTTCAATGTATAATGCTTAATACTAGTGTGCAGTTTTGAGTGTTTTAAACTMAATCCTTTGAACGAAATAATAGTTTTGCTTTATAATCCATTTATGTGTTATTTCATACTAAAGCCTGATGAATGGTGTGGAAGCTAACTCTCATCTTCAATTAAGAACTGAAAGTCATGGCTAGTCACCAGAATCYTGTTTCCCTGCTATTCCTAACTCCTGTGAAAGCCAGGGAAGGGTTTTGGGAACTGTGGCCTTAGAGGGCAATGGACCTTGAATGAAGGTGGATGTGACCTGAAGGTAGAGAGAAAGAGTAAAACTATTTAAACCTTCCTATATTTCATCAGCTTCAAGAATTTGAGTGTCTGACTCTTAACTTCTCTCTGGTGTAGCCCTCGGAAAATGCATGCTCTGTTCCTTTTGGATGCTAAAAGAAAGTGACCATATGTAGGACAGCCCAAGTTGGCCAGCAGCACTTTCATCAAATGGGGAGGTGGGGAGGTACTCCCCTTCTACAGATGACATGAAGACAAGGTCCAGGGGACAGCAGGACAAACAGAACTAAGGGATTGGGAACAGCAAGGAGTGCCAGGAGCACCCTGGGGRCAATAGCACACCCCTTCAGATGAGAATGAGGTGGCTGTTGGCCATTAGAAGACGAGAGCRTCAGCTAAAGAGGACTGCGCAACCCTGAGGCCCTTCTGGAAGGTAAAGGGCTTTGGAGAGCAGTAGAATAGCCACCTGGTTTAGAATAACAAAGTTCTAATCACACACTTTCACAGAACACTTCCTAAATCTGGAGGATTATGGTGACTTCAGCATGGCAGAAAGACCTTCTGAAGGAAGTTTATCAAAATAAGTTCTGAAATGGGTGCTAGGCACTTGATCTCTATCTTGAGAAGTTACCAGAGTGTCAAAAATTTGAAACCACTATTTCTCAATATGCTGTCTTTAGATGAAATGTTCTCATTTTTCTGTTATACTGTAAGGCCCTCCCTGTCTTGCAAAAGAATGCAACATAGTCTAAGGTTATCCTTGCTTCTAAAACCATAAAGATGTAGAGCAGATAAAGCTAATGAGCACATTATGCTTTTATAGCTCTTCATTAATGTCTAAAAATATCTTACTTTTCCTCAGGCCCCAAGTTATAGCACACAAATATGATTGTGTGTTAATAGCACATCGGATAGTATTGCTAAAGTACCAACTAGACTTTAAAATAGGCACAGTTCTTAGCAGGAATTTTAAGTTGATGAATTTTTAACATCATTTTCTAATTTAGGTTAATGCAATCCGCTGTTTCTCATCTAAAACTGAAGCTTTGCTAGTTTGTATAATCTTTTAAAAATGATTGAAGTCAGAACATTGACAAGATTAGAACGTAGAACACCTATCTTCCCTTCTTTGCCCACTGGGAGCATACTGGCTAGTACCTAGAGAAGGCAGATTTGGGATACGTTATTCTACAACAAAATCAAAACAATTTGGCAACTGCAAGGAAATGCACTTTGTATAATAAAAGTGCAAAAKCAATATTAATGCATGCAACTTTTTATAATCAGAGTGGAGGTCTGATTTTCTTTTTTTCCTCATTAGAGCTCTCCTGAAGCAGTGATGGAATGGACAGTCTGCTCTCTGAACACAGGCCCAACCAACAGGCCTGTAGCACCTATTTAATCATGCAGGAAGCTGAAGTCATCACTATTTTTACCTGATGTTCGGCCATCTGGCTTTCTGGGCTCTTGCTGGGCTTGAGACTCTCGCCAAGCTTCATCTCGATGGCCTCCATTTTGGTTGAGATGGACTGGAGGGAGTCCTGGTACTTTTGCTGCCGTTCCAAAGCTTCATAGAGGGTGCGCTGCTTTTCACTGATCTAAACAAGAAAAGGGATCTTACCAGCAGTTTCTTACCTCTTATCTTCCAGGTTACGACAYTTCTTTCCTCACCGCTTTACCCAAGGGTATTCAGCCATGTAGTGGATGTGTAACACTCTGTAAGCATTTCATAAGATAATACCTAAGGTAATGGGTGTCTGGTGACTTTAACTAAGCCCACATTTCAAGGGCTTACCACGTTTTTTAAGGTTTCCCAAGAACGCTGCAAATCACCCAGTTTGGCAGTAGCAGAGGGCTCCAGTCCTGGTTCATAGAACTCCTGGGAGGCCGCTGTGCTGGGGTGAATCCTCGCAGCATCTGTTTGTAGCCGCTCAGCCGACAAGGCTTGGTAATAAGCAATGTCCTGCGAGRGAGAGCACAGTGGAGGATTCAAAAGGAAAGACAGAGTCTAGAACAACCTGTTTTGGGTACTGTCATGTGAGTAAAGGTCTAGGATTTGCATCTCTCACTGGGGCTATGAATCAGTAAATTCTTGTTARCAAGAAGAATTTACACATACAGAAGCATGTTGAAATAGCTATAACATTTTGGTTTATTTAAAAAGAAATAAATAACTTTACCAATATTTTAAGTTACCAAAACTAATTTTATATTTGGTAAAATGGGCATACAAAGAACTTGGCTGATTGACTAGTATGACAAAATGAGGGATTCTAAATGATTTGGTTCTAAGAATGTTACTCAAGGTATTGACCAGAGTGCTGAACCGTCTTTTAAAAAGTATCTGATTTAAGAAAGTTACACATATAGACAGTCATTTTGCAGCTGTAGCTAGATCTTCAAAATTTGTGACTTAATTATTTATAGAAATTAATTTTAAAATGTTAAAACTATATAAAGGAAAATATAATGAGGAAGTTGAAACTAAGAAACAAAGTTTTCTCCTATTCATTTCCTGGAAGTACATAAGATATGATCAAAGGGAATAGTAAAAATCCATGCTTTTGAATTTTTTTAATCTCTTGGGTCATGAGTAATATAACATGTTTTGTATTTATGGTAGTGATTTTACTATACTGAGATATGTAATGATGGATTTTCCCAATAGTTTCTATGTGCATCTGTATCTTAATGGAAATTGAATAGGGAGAGCAATGTTTATATTCTGTGAGTCGTGATTATAAAGTTCATTAAATTTGCAGTTGTGCTGTTGAAGATAATTAGATGAGGTTAAAATGCTGGAACCTTCCTGATAATCATATAGTGGTAAGAAGTATTAAAGAAGCAGGGTGGGGCAGCAGCTGGAGTTTAGACTGGGAGTCAGGACACCTGAGATCTGGTAGACATTCTCCTAAGAACACGTACAACTGCAGCATCTTGTGCACAGCTCAACACTGGGTGACCTTCAGGACTAAATGAAATAACATCTGACTACTCCTATGCATTTGGTGCAGAGGCTTCTAGATGAGTCCTTAACATKTCTTGATGGCATGGCCACAGGCAGACAGCTCCTCTTCACTCCTGACCCTGTGCCATCTTGAGTGCATTATTGTGGCATTCCCAAGTCCTTGACAGGCTCATATCACTGCTCCTTGCTCACCTCAGCTCCACTTCAGACCCCACACCCTGAGCATGGTCCTCACTGAGTCAGTTCACGTCACAGGTATTTCTTGCTATGTCTAAAGTTACTTATGCTCCTTTCTTGCCAAYACTCTTGTTTCCCTTGCCCCTTTAACCTGGGCTTTACAAACCTGGAAAATCCGAACCATTGTTCAATTCAGATTTACTTTCCAGAGTGAAACACAACACACACACACACACACACACACACACACACAATCAGAGCCATCAGCTCAAATATTCACAAATCTGGCTCTGTTTGGACTCACCCTTACCTCATGCTTGCCAGTTGGCTTGCTAAAGGAGGTCTCTCCCATTGATGTCAGAGTCCCATAAACTTTTTCAAGGACCCCAATCCATTAATGGCCTTTCCTTCTGGTTGATTTTCTCCTCAGCATATAGAGACAACTCTCTCCCATCTAAAAATACCTAGACATGCTCTTTCTTTATAATTTTGTTTCTCTTGATATCCCAATCTAGAAATGTCCACCCATCCCACTTTGATGGATCATTGCAGATGGATCCGTTTGTGCCACAGGCCTGACCTGTCACTTTATAATCCAGCTTCTGAAAATGGCGGTATATATAGCAATGTCACTCTCTCCCTCTCAACCCACCCCTCCATGCCCAAATGAACTTCAGCCCTGATGACCACAATAAGGCCTCTCGCACCACCGTCATCAGTGGCTTCTTTCCCTTGAAATATGACAGCCGTGTTCCAGTCCTGCCCTTGCTTGACCTCTCTGCAACATTCAATAGCACCGACTGACCACTGTCTTTCGGAAAYACTTTCCACTTACTCCTCTGTTCTCTTCTCAGTTCCCTGGTCATTCAATATTTCTCTTTTGTAATTTATTTTTCCACTAACTCCTCAATRTTGGTAATTTATAAGCTCCAGGCTCACACATCCAGCTGCTCACATATATCTCACAGGCTCTTCAAACTCAATATTTTCACGAAAATGAGAAATGAATTCAGGAAAAAGTGATAAAGGCTTTTCTCTCTCTCAATTCATGGAACTTACACCCATCTAAGCTATAAATTTCCTCTCACCCTCACCAGCCACTGGTTATGTAAGGATAAAGTTCTATTGACGCATATCCCTCCMGGAACCAAAGTTCAAATTCTCATTACAGCAACTACCCTCCTAACTCCAAGACTGCAAATTGGTAACCTGCAGGCTGCCTCTGGTCTGCATGCCTTTAGTTTGGTACATACGGTGTTTTAAGTTTTTATTTTTTTTAATTATCCTCACTAAAATAGATTGTATTAAAAATCCAGACTCACGGCTTCCTTTGCAAACCTGAAGGTATGTACCGTTGTCACTAGACCCCGTGTCTACATGCCCACAGCAACCTTCACAGAGGCTCTGGCCTGTTTCTCCCATTTTTAGCACCTGGATGAGCCAGGCATGAGTGTGTGTCTTCTGTCCCTAACTGGCTTCYGTGACTGACTATTCCCACCTCTATCCTACTGAATGGTCTGTTCTGAAGTTCAGTCTGTGCATAGCTGCTTGTTGAATTCCCTTGGATAGTTAGCTATTAAAGTCTAGATGAAGTCCCAGTTCACTTGTGTGGCCTCCAAGGGCCTTGGTGATGTGTGCTTCCTGCATCCTCTCAGTCTCATTTCTGCACCCACTTCCCCAAACCTTTGTTTCTCTAAAACTACTTGCAGTTGCCTTGATGGGTCACTTTTCTTCCTGCCTCAATGGATTCCCACAGGGGGCCCCTTCTTTGACCTGTACCTGAAGCCCACCTGGCTTAGGTGCCTCCTCTAGGGCCTCCTATCACATTCTGCTCCATCTCACCCTGTCTGGTCACTTGCCACCCTTGTCTCATCATTTGCCTGTTCTCACAGAGACTGTGGGCTCTTTAAAGACTGTGACAGTTTTCCTGAGGACACTAGAGAGTTTGGTAAACAAAAGGCAGGCAGGTATGCTAATAATCAACCATGCATGTCACAGCACTTTTGTCAATCTTATTTTATACGCATGGAAAGTAAGGCGGGAGTTCTCCCTTATCCATGGTTTCAGTCTCTGCCATTTCATTTACCCAGAGTCAATCATGGTATGAAAATTTTAAATGGAAAATTCCAGTCCAGAAATAAACGGTTCATAAATTTCAATTAACTTTTATTAGAGTATATTGTTATAACTGATCTGTTATTATTGTTTCTCTCTCACTGGACCTCATTTGTAAATGAACTCCATCATGGGTAGGTATATCCAGGAAAAAACACAGATGGGTTCAGTACTATACATGGTTTCAAGCATCCACTAAGGGTCTTATAAAATGGATAAGGAAAAGCAAAACGTGGGTGAAATATTGTAGAATGTTTAAATTAAATATTCTATTATAAATAAAGAAGGTTMCAAAAAAACAAGAACAAAATAAACTTGTCACACACCAAAAAAACTTTGGCTGTGTGTGTATATATGGCTCAGGCCTAAAAACAGGAATGACAATTAGTTTCTTAAAAGGTTTTGAAAATATATCACTTTTTATAAATGAATAACTTGGTTTGAAAACTACATAAAGTCAATAAAATAAATCAATTGATACAATAAAAAACTACAAAAGTCAGCACTTACTATCGTGAGAGATCATGCTTAGAAATATGTCTCTCATTGCTTATGGACCTAAGTTAGAAGAATCATCACCCAGTAGATCGCTAAGGAAATAAACCTGGGCAGCCGTAGCTACTTTTTGATCTGCATTTTCCAGTTTTAAAAGTACTTTGATGGTTAGAAACATATTTGATGTTCACAATTCTGTAAATTAAGAAATATTGTTTCACACTTACACACAAGAGTGCGGAGGGACTTGGCAGATGCACTCAGCTCAGTAGAGGAAGGACTGAGACTCATGGGCACTTCTGACCCAGACGCCAGTGGCTTGCCCTTTATGCTATCCCTCTTTGCAAACTCACTTCTCTTACCCCTTCTGTGACCTCTTTAAGTCCTGCATCTAAGAGGACATAGAAGCCTGAGGAAAATTCTGGGGATGCCTCATTGTTTCTCTCTCCAGTGAGCTAAGTTATTGTATTTTACCTTGGAGCTATTGTCACAGACAGATCACCCTGACTGAGTTAGGTAATGGAGCCGTACTTACAGAAACAGCAAGCACAACCCAGAGGGAGTTAGGTAATGGAGATGTACTTACAGAAACAGCAAACATAAAACCTGTAACATCTGGGATTTTATAAAGCAGTTATATTTGGATGCTCCTTGAAACCTCTGTGCACATTCTGTACAGGGCTTAGAGTCTGAAAATTGGAACTTAAGGGGATCCTAAACATACTCCTCAGTTTCAAGAGACAATTGTGTCACCCAATGCACCACTGGTTACATGGTCATGTTTGTTATTGTCATTTGATTTACACTACTGTGCAAGAATAACGTGTGGCCAAAATAATGGCATTCACTTGTTCCAGCAATGCCAAGCTTAATATGATGGCTTTTTAACAGCTTCACAGAGTAAAGGGACTAAGTTAACATAAATAAAGACCCTTCCAGTATTACTTACAGCATCCCTTAATCAGTGTATTAGATGAAGGATGTGATTTAATTGATATTTTCCTGTGACTGGGGAGAATTGCTAACATGGAACCACCAAAAAAAATCTCACCTCACTCAGTTTTAGGATGCTGTTAAGCTTTACAGTTAAGTCAAGAAATAATAATAATGCTTTCACACTTTATCATTTACGGGGCACATTCATGTGTACACTRAAAGACACTTTACAAGAGCTAAGTAGCATGGAGACTTACAATTTTAGAAAAAGTATATTCATTCCACAGTGTTCATCTCAAGATCACAATTGTCCAATTTGAAAAACTTAAGAACTCTAAGTATATTATATAGAATAAACTTTTTTGAATACAATAAGCAGCTGACTAGAGCCCAATTTCTCTGATTCTAATAACATCTGTGACTATAGGGAAGAACATCTCATCAAAGATGAGTAATATATATTTTTACATCAGAATTTAGAGAACAGTTTGCTATGTTCAGGGTCCCCTGAACTTCTCCTTTTGGGTTGTTMTTTTTTATTTCCTCTTATTACTTCTGTTCTTATTTGTCCAGTGTTTACCTCTCTCTCTCGAGGGTAAAGTCTTTGTGCATGGGGTCACTGCCCCCTCATCTGTGCCAAGCAGGTGCTCAGAATATATTTGATGCAGAATGAGTTAATAACTTCCCCAGAGCTATATTGATTTTTACCAAACAAACTGTATTATCTAAAGGTTTTGCCAATTTTATATTCTCTTTTAATTGGGAGGGGAGTTCTTTTGATCACAGAAGTCTCTGTTGGAACGTTTCTGTTTTAAAATAAAAATAATATGATTATTTATAGTATATCCTATAAAACATTTGCTCTATTTCATGCTTTTCCTTGGTAATACATCTCTACTCTTTTGAACAGGTACATAATTTCATAGTAACATGATTAAAACTATTTTTAATTGTTTTGGCTAAAAAAAATAAGTTTTAGTTAACATGCATTAAAGGTCTGGGTTACTGTAAAAGTATTTTTTTTAGTTTTATCCAATATCACTCTTAAAATGTTTGACATTTAATTTAGTATAATCTATTTTTACAATAGTAAATGCTAAAACCCATCTCCTACCAATATATTAGCCTGATTTTATAGGAAATAAACTGTAAGATTATTGAAAGATAAGAAAATTAAAACCTACCAAGCATTCCAAAATATATCTTGGAAAAAATCCCTTAAATTTCTTCACAATTAGGTAATTTAAAAAGTATAACATAAGGAACAGAAGTTTTCCATAATCAAAATCTGAGCTAGTAAATATCAACACTATGTTCAATGAATGTTAACATAGCCATAGAATTATGTTATTTTACAATAGTGACAGAGACTTTTCATTTTCTGTTAGGATGCAGTACCCCATTGCATAAGATTATTAGTAATAAAGGCCATCATATCTTAAAAGAGACCTTCCCAGGCTGTAATTTGCATGGCCTAGTTTTTACTTATCTCACTGTCAGTGGCCCAGGAGAGGAGATGACATAATGGGCCAGTAGTCTCACATGACAATCATGGTTTGTGGGACTATAACACCTAATGGTGAGGCCCCAGAACTAAATGCAATGAAATCCAAGCTTCACACCCATAGTCTAAGGAAGAGAGAGAATGGAGTCCTGCATCTGCCCAGAGCTCACAGTCAGAAGAACACCAAGGGGGAGGTACCTGGTTAACAGAAGCATCTGTATTAGCCACAGGTGAAGGGGAGCGACAGGCAGGTGGAGAGGAAATCTCACTGTTGGTTCCCTCCTCCCCAGACTCCTCAGTGACAGGTGACAGCAAAGTGTGACAGCGACCTGCAGTCATCTGCCACATAAAATGTATCCCAGAGGACATGAAAATCAGTTAGCTATGTTAACAAAGGACCTGGCCAGGCACAGGTCAAAACTAATAATTATATAACAAAGGTTAGAATGACTGAGACTCCAATTTGCATATTAATTCTGTGTTAGTACAGGAATGAAAGATGTATACCACATTCAAGAGTTTTGCTAATTAAAAACTTAATTTTTTAAAAAAATTGTCTTTATAAAAGACTTGAAAAATCACAAATCCTACAAACGAGAAAAGGGCCTTTCATGACAACTCACGTTCCAAATGTCCTAGGGAGATAAATGCATCCAAAGTAGCATATTGCTAAATGGACTCATGTATGTTTATACATTACATAGGAGGGGAAATATACAGCACCATAAAACACTGACATTACCAAAACAGTCAATGCATTTTAGATGAATGCAAAGTGCATGGGAATATCATGATACAAAATAGAGATTAATGGAGTATTTCTTTGAATTCAAAGCTAAACATTGAAATTTCTTCTTTTTCTCATAATAATTTCTCATCTAAATTTATACAACAAATATATGCACATATCTAATCAACTAGTTAGCTTGGAGAACATCATTAAAAATACATATCTTATTTTTCCCATCCTACAGGACATCAGAACACTATACAGAGGATTTTTTCTTTTTCTTTTTTTAAAAATAAAGCTCAGAGCCTCTCAGTAGTATTGCTCAATTGTAAATAAACGCAGGGCAGATCTTGGACAGGTGAAGTAATTCAGCAGCCTCAAGCAAATAGTTTCATTTCAACAGGCACTGTTGACAGTGTCAAAGACTGGCTCAGGCCCAACTGTAGTCAAAAGGGAGTTAAGGAAACTGCTCCTTAATTGGAATCTGCAAGATCTAAAGCTGATCCCTAAAATGAGCCCTGGGAATGCTCTGGGAACAGCACCTAGGCTCCCCTCCAAAGGGAAAAGCCGGTGGGGACTGACCCGATCCTTACCATGACCACAGAGGGGTGGGTCGAAGAGGCGGGGAGGAGCTCCCYGTCCAGGTCCTCGGTGCCTTCCGCCAGCCCCTCCACCTCGGTCACCGTCAGCAGCATGGTGGCGTGCTTGGCTTTCATCGTCAGCATCTTGCACTTGGAATTCAACGAGGCGATCTGCTCCTGGTAGCCCTTGATTTTCTGCGCCAGCTCCTGAGAAAACATTTTCCCCCCGGTGTTGTCAGAGCAGCATCAAAAGGAAACACAAGCAGTGGCGTTCATCTTCCTGCAGCGCCGGCCAATGGGATGGCAGAGCCTGCGAGGCAGGATGTGGACTGTGGCAGCAGCAGCCGCCTGCATCTCCACGGGGCCACGGCGCCGCCCCRCAGCACCCGCAAGAGGCAGGGAGCCGGCTGCAGGGGAAGGGCTTTCCTGAGAGGCGCTCCCWGTGCAATCAGGAACTCCCCACCTTGGGAACCGGAAACTTTCTTCAAAATGCCTAAAGCATCTAAAATTTACCAGATGGTTCATGCCATGGAAATTAGGTCATGTGATGAATATAACTACAAAAAAAAAAAAAAAAAAGCAATGCTCAGCTTTTACCATCCACTGAGCACGTCCAACAGAAATGGCAATGATAGAGTCACCAAGTTAACTGCCAATCTCTTCCTGAGGCCACAGGGAGTTATTTTGCCTCTAGATAAGAAGGATATTACATGGGAAATAATATTTATGCAGATTGAAGTTTGCAGTTTAGTTCGTGTGTTACATTTTCTCTCACTCCACCAAGCCTCAAATGTTTCTGATGCTTCAAACTAGATTTAAAGTGCTGTTCTAACTTAATGACTTTTACTTTCATCTGTTTTTGAAAAAGAAATTATGAGAGATACAGGTTTCTTCTACTAAGAGCTTATTTATTAAGAGCTTTTTGGAATAATATGCTGGATATAGGACATAGCTCTTAAAGAGGTAATCCACATCCATTTTAGGAGCATGGTAATTCTAAATACTAAAACAATACTTTGCTGCTTATTCTTTTTCTTCCTTTTATTTGGTTCCTTTGAGAAACTTTTAGTGTTTCGCATGGAAAACATTCCATAATAATAAACATCAACCTCTTCAAATGGTAGTGTTTGTACACATATAAGTTCATTCATAGATATGAGTATCTGTTGCACACACACATGCAACATTTTGTTATTGCTGTTGTTCTGTTTCTCTTTTCCTGACCAAAACAGAGTAGAGGGAGAACAAGTCCAGCAGAACTCAGTCAATGACTTTCTTCTTGAGTTTTTACAGTGCAGTGTAGGAATTTTTAAAACAAGAGTTTAAAAAATAGAAATCATTACTTTTGTGGCTGCAGATAATTAAACCTAATATACATTTTAAAATTCATGATTAAATAGCTATTTACTACATCTAGTCTTGTGGCTTGCACATGGGTACCCAGTAAATGATACATATTATTATTAGGCAATATGCACCTAGAAGAGATATCTTCCAGCTTACTGAATACTGAGCTTATAATGGCTTGCCCCATGATGGTGAATGTAAGGAAAATTGTAGACAAAGTTAGTCTCATCCCTTATCCACGTAGTGCCCACATGGCTGGTCAAGCTCTATACTGCAGTACTCTGGCTAGACAGGTGTGCACATGCTGAGAGCAAGTGCTTGTTTTCTAAGGTGAAATATCAGCTGTATTGTAGATAAATCTCAGGCAGGTTATTTGTTAAAAATGCAGCTCTGGTCACTGCTTCCAATGAGTTTGATTTACTAACATTTCGAGAATCTGTTTCACAGTCRACCCATGTGGTTCTAGAACTTTCTTCCTTAAGGAAAAACCTGCTTGGATTATATGACTTTTGTGGGTTGGATATTCATGCTATGGAAAATTTGCTTAAATAAAATAGAGTCCTAAAATGTTAATGTGTCATCCATTCTTAATTTGCACTAGGTATTTTTGGAAAGATTCCAAAAGTGGGGATTTCAGGTATRGTGGCCTGCAAAGGACAGTAGATCTCTGTGTTCAGAACTGGAGCAAACCTTCTGTGCTAGGTGGAGAGAACAAAATGAGTATTCTCTCTTGATTTAAAAGTGTCAGGATCATCCTTTTCAAACCAAATGCAACCTCTGAAAAACTATATAAAGTAAAATGTGAATTCCTTAAAGGTGAATCAATTTAGGTATTTTGGGGGGTTGAAGGAAGTTTTCCATATGTAAAGCAGATTCACCTTTAGATTGAAATTCAATTAAAAGCAGACATAGAACCCAAGAAAACAAATCCTGGTCCAAATGTTGACATTATCATCACTTGACCTTTCTCCATTCAGCACTTTCCTTCCTGTGTTTATTTTATACATTCTATGAACTTCACACAGGTTCGGGTATAAAACCTCCTTATTTTCATGAAACAATGTATAAAACATCTTTATAAATGTGTTCCCAATCACAGAACTGGCAAATATCCACATGAATATTTAGACTTGTGAGGAGAAAGTGTGACAAGATGAACTGGCTCCTGGGCGGGGAGCCGAGAGGACATGGTCTGTGTTGACTGTGGAGAGCTCACTCTGCAGCCTTGGACAAGTCATTGACTTTCCTGTGACATCATCGTTTTTCTTTTGCAATTCCTAGACTATATAGTTTCTGCTACAGCGAAAAAGTCATGGAATTTGTAGCCAAAGATACTGGGTTTGAGTCTGGTTTCAATGAATAAAAAGCTTTCTTATTGGTAAAAAGGTTTTTAAAGAAGCCAATCCTCACAGAGTTAATCTTTTTTTTTTAAAGATGTAAAAATTTTAAGTTGTTTTTGAAAATATAAAACAAAAAAATCTTTAGTAATAATAGCAATTATTATTCCAAGACAAGGCATAAAAAATATATTCAGGATCATATTAAAATAGCTATTGTAACCCAATTTTGCATCTTATGCGATAGGAATAGATTTGAGATAAATTTGTAGTATATAATGTAATTTGCACATCATAAATAGGCTCAAGAATTTATATGTTTTCTTTTAACCAATGCTTAAGAGAAACACAGAAGTCTACAGTTGTAGAAGCAAATATAGGTGGGATATTTATTTAAGTTATTTTGAAAAATCATATATAAATATAAGTGATTGGTATACTATGAGTATCAAGAAATTTAAATATTACATTTAGGAATGGGCATGGAAAGATTTTCCAAGTTTAAGAGGCAACATTTGAATCTTCTGAAAATCTTACCATGATATTTGGTTTGTTAAAACTGTTGTTCTTATGGCAAAGTTAAGATAGAGCAGACAGAAGGATAAAGTGTCTTAGGCACAGAGAAATATAGTCACCCAAATTCATGGTGCTAAGAACCAGCCCCCAAGAGAAAGAGTGAACTTGACCCATACAGAAGTTAACTGGCCAGGAAAGGAAATGCACTGCTAAGTATAATGCCTCAATCATTGTAGGGGCTAGAATCTCTGAGGTCTGCATGAAGAGGGTTCAGGGCCTAAGATCTTCACGATGCTGAAGGTCAAAAAGGAGGTGTATTTGAAAATGGAGAAAAGGCTGACTGGCCCCATCTAAAAAATTAGCAAAAGGAATGACATAGACGATTTTCTGATTTTAGTGAAAGGAACTGAAATGGCTGATATTTTAAAGGGCAAACAATTTTCTTTTTAATATGAAATACTTTTTTTTTTTTTAAGGGTGAACAATGCAGCAAAGCATTTGCATTGTTGTTTCTTGTGGGCTTTAAAGTCAGAAGCAGACTGTGTTTTCAGATATAAATATTTAGTGTATTAACTTGTATTAACTATTTTGGGTGCAGGAGATAGTGTGTCCTGGTCAATAACGGACATGAACAACACAGAGGCTGTGGACTCAAGGGGCAGACCTGTGTTACTGGGTCAGCAAAAACTGCACTCAAAATGCAAAGACAGCCAAAGCGGCTGCCCAGGAACTGACACATTGTGTGCAGGACAAAAAAAAAAAGCATTCTCTTCTAGTCCCCAATCAAGCCAGTGTCCGCCCCTTGGTGTTTGGCCACCACTTCCATCTCACCTCATGCTGAGAAATCTGGGCTTGCAGCTCCTGGATGTTGCTGGTGGCCACGGGTTTGTCCTCAATCTCTCCGTGCGCTTCTTCTATCAGTTGCTGGAGATGCTTCATTTCTTGCTCATATTGCTCATACTGCACAACAGCCTCCTTTAGAAAGGAAAAAAATAACCAACAAATGGTTTTCTTTCTCTATTAATAATTGAGTAAGTGACTGTACCACTGTCTGCAGATGATAATGTTGACTTCTGTCTCCTTGTGTTTGTAGGGAACACAAGAAGTGATGGATGAAATCCCTAGATGGTCCAAATTCTCAGATATTTTCAAGTTTTTTTTCCTCTAAAATATTGTAATCGAACTATGAATGGAATAAAAACAGTTGATTAATCAGAATTTTCTTTCTTTTCACATTTTCCTGAAGATTAAAAGTAATGGTGCGAAGGTAGAAGCAGCATGTAAAATGGAATTGTTTCATTTCTCCATCTGAGAAATACTGAATAACAAGTAAGAAAGACACTCAGCTAAAGGTTGCAGTAGGGAATTAAAATATGAATTATGCATGACTTCTAACCTCAGGAATTGAATGTCTAAGGAATTACAAAGTAGTATAAGGAGCAAAGATAGCTGATCAAATGGACCACTAGAGATTTTAATGAGAGGCTATTTATGCAATTAATGTCCTTTTTATGGTGGAAAATGCTATTTTTCTTATTAGGTGAAGAGATTAAGAGTTAATGCTTGGGTGTGCTTCTTAAGCAAGAAAATGAATTTAATGAATCAATAAACTGAAATATGAAAAAATTCTACAGCATATGATAACAGTAAGTCCATATTCCTGGTTCTGGGTGATTCTCGGGTGAATAAAAGCCAAAAACTATATCATTGCATACAAAATTAACCTACACAAGTTGTTCTTTATTTAAAATAGCCTCAAAAGATGATTTTCACCCAAAGATATTTTTACAGTGCCTTCTCAGGCTTTTGTGGGTGATCCAAATAATAGCAGTTTAATCTCCTTGTTTTATATAATCAAAACAGTCTGTCAAATTTAACATTCTGGATGTGTTTGGATGGCTGAACCCACACAATGCTAAGAAAAGCAGCCCATGACTCATCGGTGATGGCTCTGTGGGCGTGGGCACCACCGTGGAGCCTGGGGGCACAGCTGCACCTGCCTGCATGATGTTGCACTGCTGGATGGCTGTGTGCTGCAGCCGGCTCGCCTCCTCCTGCAAGCGCAGAGCAGCTTGGCAGAGCGGTAGGCTGGCCACCACGTCCTCGGGGATCCGGAGAGCGCTCTGGCAGAGCTGCACAGCTTGCACCTTCGGTTTTAGTGACTCCATCTCAGACAGCAAATGCTGAAAAGTCATAGTTCAGAAATTTAATGTTCCCATCATTTAGTGCATAAGCAAAAGACAAGAACTGAATTCTAGACACAAGTTATAAATGTGTATGTTTTCAAATAATGCATCTAGTGCTAAGACCATAACTGAATTTAGAAAGCAGTTTGCCTGGCTCTTTTTAAAATATAGGTCCTTGCCCACTGGCCTTGAAATATTTTTGCTTACCTGTCGATGAGACAGTTGTTCCTTGAGACTCAAACGCCCAACTTCTGGAGAAGTTAGGGTGGTCTGGGCTTGTTCCAAAGCGGCTTGTAAGTTTTTCAGCTCTGCTTCAAATTTTTTCATATCCTGGAGGGTAAAATCCATTTAAATACCAGTCTATTGCACTTACAGACCAAATTCCTAAAAATAACATCATAGTCAAGAAACAACATCACCCTCTTTCCACAGTGGAAATACCGTTTTTTAGTGATAGATTTTTTTTTCTATTTATTTTTTTGTTTTTACCTTGGCTGCATCTTGGAGGTTCTGCATTCGAATTTTGATCATCTGCCGCAACTCCTCAGTCTCCCGTCCCAGTTCCACCACTTGCTGAGACATCTTTTCTGTACAGTATACACTAGAGAGGTACTGCAATTTTTCCGTCATTGCTTCCAGATCAGTGTAAATTTCTTCAGACTCTTCTAGCAGGGTCTAGAGTGAATTGACAATATTTATGACCATTGGCAGGTAGGCAGGCAGAGGGTCAGTGACTGACATGGTGCGGTATGGGAAGGAGTAAGGAGAACTAAGTGGAAATTTATGCTACCTGCAGGCAGCACTGTGTGTTTCTCACTACACAGCTACTGTGCAGTAACGTTCATATTCTACAGATAAATTCTGGATGCATATTGCCCAAAGACTTGAAAACAAGACAAGAACATTACAAATGAAAACTCTGAGCACCTGTGTTAAGTGAGACAAGATAAAAGTGGACTTGAAATATCAAGAGGCACTCATCATCCAGGATGGTGTCATCTATTGGGACTAACAATAGTACAAGTGGATATTTCATGCACATACATATATGCATACAAATATGCAATATATGAGAAGTAGAGTGAGAGAGACCAAACGTTGAGAGATGCCTCAGGTGAGATGTGCTGCAACTTGCTGGAAGGTTGGGAGAAGGCCCCATGGAAGAGTGACGGAAGAGTGATGTTTGATCTAGGTCAGAAGGATAGCATGTTTTGAAAGAAGGAGGAAGGGAGAGGCCTTTCACTCTGAGGGAACAGCATATGTGGAGGCACAGGGGTGGATGAGTACAGAAAGTGAAGTCACAGCAGGAATGGGGAGGGGGTATCACTGTTAAGGGCTAGGTTCCATTTAAAAAAAATGAAGTACATTTTCTTCCCACAATGAATGTAGACATATGTATTATTAAAAAACAAAGCTTGGAAAATATTGATACTGTAAGGATGAAAACAAAATATCCTATCATCTCACAGCCCAGAGATAATGTTAAGAGAGAACTGCTGGTCCATGTGGGCCTACGTATTTTTAGTCAGTTAAAATCACAATGTACCAATAATTTTCTTTTTTTTTTCTTTTTATTTATTTATTTTTTTTAATGTTGGTTGTTCAAAACATTACATAGTTCTTGATATATCATATTTCACATTTTGATTCAAGCGGGTTATGAACTCCCATTTTACCCTGTATACAGCTTGCAGAATCACATCAGTTACACTTCATTGCTTTACATATTGATATAC